TTAGGGGAGATGTGACATTCTTAGGGCCGACTTATTCTAACCCTTCCTTCCTTGTGAGAAGGCAGCATCACTGCAGATGCTGGTTGTCCGAGGGAAACACCTTACTGCTGTCATACCCCTCTGCAGTCAGCAGTACGACTTCGCCCTCAGACCTTGGGTAGCTGCTTTTAGTCTCATCGTTCTCCAATCGACCTGCCTGGCATGGTAGAACCTTGAGGAACATATGTTCCAGCCAGTATAGCTCGGTTGGGTGATCACGATAGGCAAGCCCGACCACCACGTCAAGGTAGCAGCTACGGTCGGGACAACCTATCACAGAAACATATTGTAAATGGGACACAGTTTGGATACATTCCTAGAATTGATTATTGACAAATACAAACTTAATACGCACTTACATTTCACTCTTCATTATGATATTCATTGTGTTTAGTTAACTATCCACTCTCCACCAGGGTAAATTCAAGGTTAGAACAAATTGTTTCTACACACATAAAGGGAGTTTTAACTTAGGAATAACTAAGACCTCCATAAACGTCGAAATTCGTCCTTCAACATTTCTATACTATGTTTTAAAGACTTTCTTAATGTCGATCTTATGCCATGTCTCAATTATGTGTTTTGCGATCGATGAACATGGTTTTCTATTTCCAACGCTTATCAGCTCATCTGACGTTAACTGATTTTGAAGCCACTTAGGTACATGTTCCATAACCCTTGATTGGAAAATCCGATAACTCCTACCTATGTATGTGTGTCCACACAAACATGTAAATTGATAAATGCAGTGGGATGTGACGTAATCATTCGAGCAACGTTTAGATCTATGTGGAATCATGGGCATTAGACCATTTGTTTCACCTCTTATTGGTAAAGTGATATTAACCTTTTTCTTCTTAGAAGAATGAAAAAAGGCTTTTGTCTTAACTGATTTCTACACTTATTGATTAATTTTGGTGGATAGCCATTTGAAATCAATGCTTCAGTTAAGAATTTTGCATCGTCTTTAAATGTATCCGTGGTGCAAATTCTTTAAGCCCTATTGAAGAGGCATTTTACTAAAACTCGCTTGTGTTGAAGTGGATAGAAACTGCTGGAAATTAAATATTGTCCAGTCCGGGTTGGTTTTCTATAAACAGATCGCTTTATAATTCCACTCAACAGTATATCTAACATGGGCAATTGTTTATTATTTTCTGTTTCATGGGTTAAGACAAGGTCGTTCTAAAAACTATTGAAGTTATTCAGTAACTGAGAGACATTGAGTTCTGTGTCGCATATAACTAAAACCTCATCCATATATCGCCTATATAGAGTAAGCTTATTGATGGGCTCATTCCACACATTTTCAGAATATGCCATATGAACATCAGCTAAGAGAGTTCCCAAAGGACTAACGATGTCAACGCGATCAAGATAGCCTTCAAAACATTGTATGGAAATGTTGAAGGACGAATTTCAACGTTTATTGAGGCCTTAGTAATTCGTAAATTAAAATCCCCCTTATGTGTTATAACCGTGAATTTACCCTGGTAATCTTTAAGCCTAGGGTAATGTAACAACTTTCTACCCGTTCTTATTCTTTTCATATTAGATTAATCCTGTCATTCGCCTTCACCTTATGTCTATTTGAACTTTTATTTAATTGACCTTTTGTTAATCTTCACATAAAATGCCATGACACATTTTTCAGATCAGATTACGTCTTCTCACTGTTCTATCAAAATTTATAAAAGAGACTAATTGTTTTAAATTCTCAGAATTATTAAGGTTGTTTCTACTCAGAATTTTAATTACAATTTTTTTCATTCAAATCATGGATCGATCATAGTTAAACCATCATCAGAAATTTTAAAGCACTGGATAGACGTTTTTAATTAGTATGGAACTCGTTAGAAGTGTTCATCCACGACCCCGAACGCGGATCTGTATAAAATGGAAAGAAGTTCTTATCACGAGCGCATATACAAAGATTTAGCTAGTTGGTTTTCTATTGAGGGAAGTCGTTAACCCCATGCCCAACCCTCCTCCTTTATCCGAGCTGGGGACCTGCAATAGTCCGAGAAGGGCTTCAGTTGGAAGGAATGTACTGAGCTGAGAGTTGGATACAGATATGAAAAGAATGAACAACAATTGGATATAACTAGAGAGGAAGGCTCAAGACAAAGTAGCTTGAAGAATGCTGGTCGATTAACTAAGCTTCATTAGGAGTAATTGCCGTAAGTTAGTAAGTAAGTAAGTAGGCAAGTAGTTGCTTTGAATGCCTCCAACATATAAATCATTTATCAACTAGGTTTGTGACGGATAAATTCAATATTTTCAACTGAACTGTATTTATATCATATTTTGAAAAAAACTAAGAAAATATAACAAATATTTTCAATCAATTTCTCTGTCATCAACTAAGAATGTGGAGAGAAAAAGATATGAAAATAGCAGTTTCAACACCATTAGATTCCGGCCCAGTGGTTCAAAGGTTAGGCGTTCGTCTACAATATCAAAGGTCCCAGGGTTCGAATCCTGAGAGATACAGGAGCCGTGGACGCGCACTGCTGATGAATCCCATACCAGGACGAAACGGCTGTCCAATGGTTCAAAGTTTCTAATGGTGGTCTAACAATGATTGACTGGTGATTTCAGAAAATATATATAGAAATGGTATAATCGTATTTCATGTTTACTACATCGAGTTAAGTTATTAAGTTCGGAAGAATTAAAATCTTTGTTGACAACAATGACCTATCATCCATGTTAAACTATCTTTGACAGTCAGACTGACGTTGTTGTGTTGGAATAATTGAACAGCATCTTCATAAAAATCACTTACTGAATTCAAAGTGAAGAGATAAAAACTACAAAACAAATCATTTCTCAATAATAAAAAATCACTATAAATTAAGAGTTAATATACCCTATATATTCATATATATTTCTGACAAAGTTCTCACAACAGTCTATTTAACATAATCTAGATTATTGGCTTTGAAGTTAAGCATAATTTCATAAATACAGGGTTGTGGAAATTCTTTAGCTTCATTGAAACCACTGACTGATGAATGTTAGACCACTGTTATAGACCAGGAAGCACTGTGTATCGGTTACGTCTTAAACTGGGACTGAAAGGCAATGTGCATCCGCGACACTGTTCACGGGAAACGAACTCATGACCTACGATCGTAGATGTGCAATGACGATGAGTCTCATAGGAGGACAACACAGTAGCTCAGCGATTGCTGGTCCCTAGTGGCGGTCCAACATTGTGCCACTGTTAATTTCAATGTAAGTATTGATTATTATTAATAGTAACATTATTGTTATGATTATTAAATTTTACATGAAAAAGTCTAATTTTAATTTAGATAAATTAAACGTATAATTTTTTATGATTTATATATGTTTTGTAAATGTGTTTATCAAAGGATGTCTAAACAAAATACTTCAGATTCACCGGCTAGACAATATCAGTAACAACTCCTACTGCAGGAGAGAACAAACCAGATTCCAGTGGAACAGGTAGTCAGGAAGAAGCTCTGAAAGTGGATAGAACACACATTACGGAAAGCATCCAATCGTGTTACAGTACAAGCCCTCACTTGGAATCCTCAAGAGCAAAGAAAAAGACGAAGACCGAAGAATACATTACGCCGAGAAATGGAGACATACAGGATAAGTATTTACAACTTACTTACTTACTTACGCCTGTTACCCCCAATCGAGCATAGGCCGCCCACCAGTTTTCGCCAACCAACCCCCGTCCTGGGCTTCCCTCTCCAGTTCTGTCCAATGATTGTTCATTCCTCTCATATCTTTCTCTATTTCTCGGCGTAATGTGTTCCTTGGCCTTCCTCTTTTCCTTTTGCCTTAAGGGTTCCATGTGAGGGCTTGTCTCGTGACGCAGTTAGGTGCTTTCCGCAATGTGTATCCTATCCACTTCCATTTCTTCTTCCTGATTTCCTCCTCCACTGGAATCTGGTTTGTTTTCTCCCACAGTACGTTGTTGCTGATCGTGTCTGGTCAACGAATTCGAAGTATTTTGCGTAGTCCTCTGTTAATAAACACTTGTATCTTCTGGATGATGCCTTTCGTAGTTCTCCATGTTTCCGCTCCATACAGTAGAACTGTCTTCACATTTGTATTGATTTCGGTGTTGATTGATATGTGTTTGGAGTTCCAGATATTTTTCAACTGTAGAAATGCAGCCCTTGCTTTGCCAATCCGCGCCCTCACATGTGCATTGGATCCACCTTTCTCGTCGATGATGCTGTCCAGATATGTAAAGGTGTTAATGTCCTCCAAGGCATCTCCATCAAGAGTGATTTGATTGGTGCATGTTGTGTTGCATCGGAGAATTTTGCTTTTTCCTTTATGTATGTTGAGACCTACTGCTACAGAATGTCCATCAATTGGATAGAAGTAGAAAGAAAGCTCAACGACAGAGCACATTGGAGAATACTGATCGGTGGCCTATACTTTATAGGAGGAAACCGAAGTAACTACGAAGTAAATATGTAAGAATGTTTAATTTATTATGTTGAAGTACTTTTCTATGATTTCTAAATATTGCAACCAACGGAATGTGTGAATGAACTCAAATACACATGACATTGAGTAGAATATGTTGTAAAACATTTTTAAATATGTGAATAGTATTGATATCATATTGACTATGAAGATTGCATTGGTAGTATTCAATATCAGTTTCTACAAAAAACTATAGGAATAAGCTTAAATTAAAAAGTCATAGTGATTGATTGTCATAATTGTATTCTGTGAAATGAAATTTTTTTGCTTAAAAATATGTTAACTTTCATTGGTTCATCATAATAAAACCCTGAAAACTATCATTATCAATATTCAATAAGTGTATTTATTATTATGCATTCTGTTAACCATTGAACATAACAAACAGAGTATGTGTGAACATTTTGTTTTATCATGGTTTTAATGTGTATTTAGATGAAAATGAATCTTTGTTTTACACATTGTACAGATTAGTTAACATGTTGACCAATTTCAATTCTGTTGTTTTATTGAAATGGTACATTATTACAATAACAATTGTTCAATTGTTCAATTTTCAATTAACACATCAAGCGATTTATCAAATTCAAACTAGTGAAGAAGAAGAAGTAGGAAACAGTAATTTCCCAATCGAATTATCAAAAGATGTAAGATCTAGAATTCATTTTATTCTAATTATGCGTGCAATTAGATTTATGTTTATCAATATTCAGAATCGATCAAATATGATGAAGTGTCTCCGGTGACATTTGACAAAGCGGCCACAGTGACCCTCGGTGAATATCAAACTTTAGTAAGAAAACAACAATCACGATGAATGATTTTTTTTATTCTTCAGATTGTGAAACCTATTTTTAAAATATGGTATGCAGGATTAGATATGGATTATGTTGAAATATTTCCTGGTGGTAAGTGAGTAAATTGAATTTTGAAAATTCCGCAATTTTTCAAACAGTTTATTCAAATAAAGATGACATAATGGATTGTTTTGTTAAATGTTTCATGTGTTTATATGATAGCATTTACTCAATTCTACTTACATAAAACACAGTATATACATCCAGTTATATTCGAAGGAAGTGAGATGTTTGATTGGTATTTTTCCTGTTAGTTAACTGGATCATGAAGATGTCAACATGTCGAGGGAAGCGCGGATGCAGCTGGACCACGTGGCTGTTCCACTGCACACGTTATAACCAAGGTAGGATACGAAGACCAGTGTAGCAACGTCCTCTACAGCAATAGGTTCCATCATACACAAGGCGAATAGTAAGATCGTTCAAAACAATATAACATGCACCGATCAAATCATAAATGGTGTAGAAGCTTTCGAAATTCGGAAACCTTTACATTCCTGGTTGGCAGCATTGATGAGCAAGGTGGATCTGATACAGATGTGAAGACAAATACTGGCAACGCAAGTGCACCATTTCTGCAATTGTAGAACAAATGGAAATCAAAACAATTGTCAACCAATATCAAAGTTAGTATTTTCAATAAAAATGTCAAAATAGTTCTACTGTATGGTGTGGAAATTCCAACAACCTTTTAAGTCATCATGCACAAACTAAATGTGTTTAATAACAGTTTTCAATGTAAGTTACTCTATATCCATCGGTCAGACAGTGAACTGTATTATAAGTTAAACATAAGTTGGAATCTTCAGAACGAAAGAAAAATGTGGAAGTTCAAAGAATAATACATTAGGCAGAGAAATGGAGACAGACATGTGAAGAATGAACAGTGATTGGATAGAAGTGGAAAGGAAGGTTGAGACCAGATTAGGCTAGAGAAGACTTGCCAGAATCCTAAGCAATCAAAAGTACAGAGAGTCTGAATATGGAGTAATATGTTTATATCTGGGACGATAAATCCATGATTTCCTATAGTTTAAATGATGAACTGTTATTAGTTGAGTGATTATGTTCAAATGTGAAGGAATTTAATAGCCGCCTTGTTTTAGTATTAAAGTCAGCCATACTTATTGACAATTCTACATCCATAATTCGAACCAAACATCCTTAATCTCGTAGAAAATCTTCACTTCGAAACTATTGAGTCAGTAATGATTGATGTATATGTCTAACTTCAAATAGATCAGAATATTGGACGATTATCTCTTACTTCCTGCTCTCACATCTGACCCAAGTCAACTCCATTATTCACAGTTTCCTACTGGAACTTCAACAGTTATATATTCCAGTTATTCGCTAGTGAGCAGTACAATGCTTATTAGTACGAAGGAGTTTATTTCGAGATTTTCTCTAGATTGAATCATGAATCTTTAATTGATGCTTCATGTCAAAAGAGAAAACATTTTCATTTATCTGTCTCACTACACTGTTCGAATCCTTTCTTCGAATTATTTTTTAATTGTTGTATAAATACATGCATGTTTCCTTTCAAACACTTCACATTGACCGAATTCCTTTGATGGCAAGGAATAAACGCCATTTTCCCTTGTCATTTTGACTTCTTCCACAGGAATCAATCAGA